TGTCACGGGCCAGATTTATCCACATAAACTATTGTTGCCCAGAGAAGCTGTGGCTGCCCCATCCCTGGAAGTGTCCAAGGCCAGGCTGGAAAGGACTTGGAGCAGCCTGGGCTAGTGGAAGGTGTCCCTGTCCATGGGATGGAACTGGATGAGCTTTAAGGTCCCTTCCCACCCAAACCAGTCTGGTATTCTGTGACCTCATAAAATGTGTGAAGAGGTTTAAAAAATTGTAAACACTGAGCAAAACTGCAGAGAGTGGGTGTGAGATTTCTGTAGAAATTTCTGATTTCTGATCAGAGAATAGAAGCAACACTCCTGACAGTCCAATCTCCAGGAGTATTCCTGATGTTTGTCTCTGAATTCAGCCCTGTTTGTTCTGCTTTTCAGCCCTGACTGCTTTATAAGGACAGGGAATTTGTGGTTGTCAGGGTCTGTCTCTGGTCTCTCTCTGTCCCACTGTTCAGCATCTGAGACAAGTCATTGGACTAATTTTTTTAAAAATCACTATTACTCTTTTTCCCCCTGAAGTAAATCAAAAAGAGATTTATTACTGTCATCAGTAATGAAACTAAAATCATTAAGTCCCCAAATCATCTTTAATGGATAAAAAACNTCCAACCTGGCCTTGAAATCCTATGGATCATCATCCACTCCCTGCTGTGAGCTCAATTAGAGCCCAGAATGATGAACTGGATGTCTTGAAAAATCTATTACTAAATGTCAAATAAAAAAAAAAAAGTCAAAATAATAGAAACACTTTTCTCTCCCTGATTTGAAGACTGGCAATGAAAAGGCAGCTGTGATTTACCACAGAGAGCCTCAGCAGAACTGCACAGAACTGGAGGCAGGGACAGGACAATTTCAGTCTCTGTGGTCTTTTGACTTTTAAATTGTTCTCCCATAAATCCCTGCAATGCAGGCTGCTCCCAGGAATGAGAACAAAGTGCTTTCCCAGTGTGCAGGGGTGACAGGAGGAGGGAAGCTGCCCTGTGTTTGCAGGTGAGGTGTCCCCGAATTATGTGACAACTGCAGAAAAGGCCCAAGTGGCCTGAAATGCAGCGTGCAAAGCTGACCCCAACCCACAGAGAAATCACACTGTTCTCTTTTATACATATATATTATATATAGCACCATAATAACAAAATATCTACACTTTTAAAAGTCAGCATATGCTGGAAGGCATTTTTTCCCCCTCCCAGAGCTGAGCAGAGGATGGAACAACTCCTCACCATTCCAAAAGAAACCACTCTAAACCCCTGTGCTGCTTGGAAGGCAAGGGAGAGAAGACAGGAGGACTTAAAGATAATGGTTTGCTGCCACGAGCCAATTTGTTCTCCTTTCTCAAGACAAGAACCTTCAGCTGGGTAAACAGTGTTTTGTGGCCCAGAGCTCTCTGCTCTCACTGCTCCCACCCAGGATTATGGATTTGCCAAGTTTCCTGCTCTCCACAGTCAGCCTGCAGTTGATCCCAAGGAATGGGTGGCAAGGCAGGCTTAGGGCATCAACAGTACTCATTATCTTTTTGATCCCTTTGTCATCTGATTTTTTAAAGAGATTTTAAAGATTTATGGGAGGATAATCACACCAGGGAAGGGGCCAGGGTGTTAAAGGACAGGTTTATAGAATCACAGAATGGTTTGGGTTGGAAGGGACCCATTCCACCCCCTGCCATGGAAAGGGACACCTTCCACTAGCCCAGGTTACTCCAAGCCCTGTCCAACGTTGCCTCGAGCACTTCCAGGGATTGGACAGCCACAGAATATCCACATAATCCAGAATATTTGAAAAAACAGATGCTGAAATATATTTCTTCCTAAAGAAGCTGTCAAAACCCAGTATTTCAGAAAAGCAATTTTATATGGAGAGTTTCTGGACTCAATCTAAGCAAGAGGCTGTCTAGTGAAAAATATCTAAAATATATAGATAGGTCTAAACCATGTACTAATTTTTAATTTGAGTGTTATAACTCCTTCAAGTAATTTTGGTATTTGTCCTTCTTTATGCTGCAGTCTGAGAATTAGCCAGGTCAGAGTCAGAGAGAAGCCAAAGGCACACCCAGCCAGGGAGGACATTTATCACCGAGGTCTTCATCTCACATTTTTTCATTTTCATATCAAAAAACTTAAAAATCAATCTTAACTGGGGTGACTGCCCCCAGAATGATTTGCAGGAGATGCAAATGCCGAGTGCTCCTGCAGTATGTGTTTGGAATTCAAAATGCAAACCATTATTCCCTCTCAGAGTGAACATGTAGCAGGTTCTGCCTCACCCGGGGGAGCCTGAACATCTTTTATTACCAGCCCAAATTCCCACTTACAGCTTATTTCAGCTTTTACTTGCCAGAACCCCCCATTTCCAAGCACCTGCAGGGGCCTCACCTGTACACCACGGCAGGGATGCGCTTCCAGGAGCGGAAGCTTGCCACGCTCTCCAGCTCCTTATCCGTGATCCAGGCAGGAACTATGATTTCCTGGGGGTAACTGCCACACAGCCTGGGGGAAAAGGGGTGCACAGGGTTGGACATTAGTGACACAGAGCAGCTGCACCCTTGGCAGTGGAAGAACTGACACTGGGCAGCCCCTTTTGCTGATTTGTTTCACTGCCTGTCAATAAATTCCTCCTTCTCCAGCATTAAGTGTGTAAGGAATGGCTATTCTTCCTTCCCGGGATTTTTGGAGGCCAAGGCAGGGATTCTTCCTGCACCAGCTGCAAGGCATTACCCTGCAGAGGCAGAGCAAGGAAAGGTGTTCCATCATGCAGAGTTCCAGCTGGTTTAGCTCTGAGCTGGAGCAGGGAGCAGCCACAGCACCCCATCCCACCACAGGAGAATCCAGGAGCACCTTCCTCTGCTCCAGAGCCCACAGAGGACTTTTCTCTGTTTCAGGACCTCAGAAAGTGTTTTCTCTTATTTTCAGCATTTGCAAACTTAACTCCTTCAAACCTGTTTTTTCTTTAATACATGCCTTTGTAATAAGTTAGAGAACAAGACACAATAAAAATGGTTTATAAAAGTTCAAACTCCACTCTTTGCTCCCTTAAGATCCCCTTTTCTTCCCTTAGAATTCTCTGAGATGTCCTCCAGCAAGCACACCAAAATCTGGGATTTCTAAGCTGAAAAATTCATATCAGCTAATAAAATATTCAATAATTAAAAGCATATTTTCTATAAAACAACAAAAAATCATAATTCTGATTGGCCTGTATTAAGAACTGTAGAACTTGAAAAAAGTTCCACTAATCTGCCATAAAAAAATCAGTGTTTTGAGCTGCCATTTGGCTGTGAATCTGCCAAGTACTCACTTGTACTTCTCATTGATGTTGGAAATCCTCCAGGCATTGTTCATATCAAACCCCATCCGCTCCACTTCGTTCTTGAACCTGGAAGTTACGTGTTCTCCTGGGGAGCAAGAGCAGAGGGAGAAAATGAACGGGAAAGAAGAAATTAAGATTCCCACTTCACAAAATACCCAGGAGAAAACCAGCACATCAGTCAGTGCAAAGCCAGCTGCATTTCACAGCCTAATTCTGACAACTGCACTGATGGCTCTCCATGGCCAACTCTCCAGGAATGCCGAAGTCCAACACGGTAATTTCCTGAAATCACCAATTTTGGGAAATCCATGTAAAACAGTAACACTGCAAACCAGACCCAAGCACATCAGCAGAAGGAATTAAGATACATCAGGAGTTCCAGCGGGAAAAAAAAAATAGGAGTTCTTATTTTGTGAAGTTCAGAAGAATTTTGTATCAATGAGAAGAATGTGAAGCTGGTGAGGGGCTGAGACCTGGAATGTGCTCTGGAACGTGGGCAATCAACATGGAATATGCAATTCCAGCCCCAGGTTTCCTCTATGGCTGGAGGCAAGTCCTGTCACTTATCCTGCACCTCAGTTTTCTGTCCACAAATTGGATATTATTCCTCCATGAGTCAAGTGGAGATAGGAAGGTAAAATGCATAAATATCAGTCACAAAATCCTCATAAATTCCTGTATTAATACATTAAAGGAAGTGGAATGAACCCAATTTATTTCCTAGAGACTTTTCTAAAAACTATCAAAAAACAATTGCAAAAATATACAATGGCAGTAAAGAATAACTATTCTGATAGTTATTAAATTCTAGAGAATTAGACAAAATTTCCAGGTTTCCAGAGCCAAGAAATGTGCTAAATTTAATGAGCCTGAGAGCAACACTAAATCAAGTGATTCTGAAAGTCTATGCATTGCCTGTCTCTTTAAATTACTGTATCATTAAATCCTGAGGCAGAGCAGCACCCAACAGGGGCCAGAAGTCTGCTGCAAAATGAATGCTTTAAGTATTACATCTTTCCATTAAATATTTCAGAAAACCCTTAAAGTCTTTCAATCCCCCCGATATCCGTAGATACACATTTAGCTCAAAGATGTAAATGCACATGTCTGAAATGATTTTTTCATGTGGCATCACAGAACAATTAGAGATAAACACGGAGGACAGACACTGGGAGGGAATTGTGCCCTGTGAGGGTGGGCAGGCCCTGGCACAGGTTGCCCAGAGAAGCTGTGGCTGCCCCTGGATCCCTGGAAGTGCCTAAGGCCAGGCTGGATGGGCTTGGAGCAACCTGGGCTGGTGGAAGGTGTCCTTAGAGACTGTTTTATTTAAAAATCCCACAAACCCTTTGACTGGAGCAGCAGATGCTCCTGCAGCACTGAGGATGGGCTTCACCATCACCTGCTCTGTGGAATGGTCTTAAAAACCTGTGATCCATCCTTAAGGAGGTTTTTTTGGATAGCAAATGAGAATACTGGAAATATCCCCAATCAATGCTGCATAGCCCTGGAGGGTTTTAAGAGAAACACATAAAACTCCATGAAAATGAAATATTCTGTTTGATTTCCCCCTCTTAATTTTTAGCTCTTGGGAAATCCCGGGTTTTCCTCCGAGAAACGAAAGCCCAGCCTTAACATCCTGTCCATTCCTCCTGAAATGCTGGCATTTTAAGAGGCACTTTGAGTCAAGATGGATAATATTTAGAAGCATCCCAATCCGCTCTCAAATTCACAGGAAAAACAAGCTGGACATTTTATGGACTTACACCTCCTGGCCATAAGAGCTGATCCTGAGCCACAGCTCAGTTCTCTGTTACATACATTGTTAACATACTTTTTTCCCCTGAAGTTGATACTCAGATGGATTTTGAAGCAATTTAGTCTTTCTGTACATATCTGCCAAATAATGGGCTGCCTGGACGTGAAAGAGAAATTACAATGTCTTGGGATTAACTTCTCCACCAACATTCACACTGACTTAACTATAACTCAGCTCTGTGAAGGAGAATATCCACCCCCAGGAAGAGGCAGCTACAGGAAGATAAAGTTATGTTGAAGAAAAGAAAAAAATTGATTGGTAGAAGTTTTTAAATAAAAACATAAATGCTCCTTCTTCTCTCTGGCATTGTCCAAGGCCAGGCAGGGCAGGGCTTGGAGCATCCTGGGCTGGTGGGAGGTGTCCCTGCCCATGGCAGGGATGGAACGAGATGGGCTTTAAGGTTCCTTCAAATCCAAACCATTCCATGATTCCCTGATTATCCTAACCCAGCCTTAGGCTGAAGCCCACCTGTTTCAGTGAGGAAAAGGGCTACAAGGAGACCCAGCAATGCTTCCACATGTCTGCTATCTCTCACTTCCTGAATTCAGTGAGGAGGGAGAAGCCCTAGGTATGAAATTCTGCCCTAAGGATTTTTTTTGCCATTTTCCAGCAGCTGCTGAGGAAGTGTGTGATGTGCAGGAACAGGAGCCAAGGAGCTCCTCCTTCACCTGTGTGCTCCCTGTTCACTGCTCTTCCTCAGGCACCAAAGGCATGATAATCTGTGCCCAGCTCCAGAGAAACCTCAGGAACAAGGACAGAATCCCAGGAACATCACTCAGCCTGACAGCTGGGACACTTCCCTCAGGCAGTGAATTGTGAGTGACAAGAGACTGCAGAGGCCTGGAAATCAAATTTCTTATATTCAAACAAGTGCTACAATCACCGGCATCCCAATTTTTAGCTTTTATTTACTTGTGGGCCTCAAAACCCCTCCAGCAAGGATGGTACTGCACTAAAATACATCACAGTGCTGTGGCTGGCAATGAAGCTCAGGAGCAGCTCAGGGCCTCCCATCTCCTTCACCTCCTGCTCCTCAACATCCATGCTGGAAACCACTGTTCCAGGCAGTTACAAAAAACATGGCACAGCCAACACCACATGGTTTAGACTCAAAGTTGCTGCTGTGGTGAACATAAAGAGGAATGAGGAGCAGCTGAGGGCACTTGGTGTGTTCAGCTGGAGCAGAGGAGACTGAGGGGAGAGCTCAGTGCAGTTCCAACTGCCTGGGCAGGGGCAGAGGAGGGGCAGGGACTGAGCTCTGCTCTGGGGGGACCAGGGACAGCAGGCAGGGAATGGCTGGAGCTGTGTCAGGGCAGGCTCAGGTTGGATCTCAGGCAAAGGTTCTTCCCCCAGAGGCTGGTTGGGCACTGCCCAGGCTCCCCAGGGCAGTGGGCACAGCCCCAAGGCTGCCAGAGCTCCAGGAGGGTTGGGATGATGCTCTGGGGCACAGGGGGTGACTCTTGGGGCTGGGCCTGTGCAGGGCCAGGGGTTGGACTGGATGATCCTTGTGGGTCCCTTCCAACTCAGCACATCCTGTGACTCTGTGGAATCACACCCACCACAATAATTCCAGGAGATATGGAGGAGCTGCTTTGCCCTGGGCTGACCCCTGGGCTGACCCCTGGGCTGTTCCCACGTACCTGGCCGACACAGGTCCCCGTGCTGCTCCTTCTCACTGGCGTAGACCTCCATGCACCAGGCGTGGTAGGCGAAGGAGAACAGGTCCTCGATCTTGGCGGGCGGGCGGATGGCATTGTTGAGCCGCTTCAGCCAGTCCTGGCACTGCTCAAAGGTGGAGAACTGACACCTGTGCCACAAACAAACAGCCCCTGGTGAGTTTGCAGGGACAGATGGCAGGCTGGGAATGACAGGCTGAGCATGGAAACCTCTCTGAAAGCGGGGAGTGAGAATAAATATCTTAGGGACAACTTAGTTCTGCTTCCGTGTACATTCCAATGGACAGTAAAAAGGAAACCTGTGGATATTAGAGAAGAAACACACTTAGGGAGTCAGGATTAACCATGAGCAGCAACGTCCTGTGGCTGTGAGTAACCAGGGCTGTGCCCTGCCAGGAACAAGGGAGATGTTTGTGCACGTGTTAACTACGAAACCAAGGAGCAGATCAGAGACAGGAACGTGTTCCAGAGACTTCTGACTGCAGGAGTCAGGTGGAAACTCAGAAAACTACCACATACACTCTAATCTATATATTGTAACCATAATCACAGTCCTGTAAACAAGAACAGGCTGGGAGAGCTGGGAGGGTTCACCTGGAGAAGGCTCCAGGGAGAGCTGAGAGTCCCTTGCAGGGCCTAAAGGGGCTCCAGGAGAGCTGGAGAGGGACTGGGGACAAGGGATGGAGGGACAGGACAAGGGGGAATGGCTTCCCACTGCCAGAGGGCAGGGAGAGATGGGAGATTGGGAAGGAATTCCTGGCTGTGAGGGTGGGGAGGCCCTGGCCCAGGTTGCCCAGAGAAGCTGTGGCTGTCCCTGGATCCCTGGAAGTGTCCAAGGGCAGGTTGGATGGGGCTTGGAGCAACCTGGGCTGGTGGAAGGTGTCCCTGCCCATGGCAGGGGTGGCACTGGATGAGCTTTAAGGTCCCTTCCAAAGCCTTCTCCTTCTGGCCTTGGTGGGAAGCACAAACCACGTGTTTCAAACTGAGCTTTGCCCAACATTACAGACTAACAACAACTGGTGAGAATATTCCCTGTACAGGAGAAACTAATCTTCAAAGCAGTGCAGTAAAATTGCATTAGCTTGTCTTTTCAAAGGGGATTCCTGGACCCTTTTACTGTAGAGGGTGGGAATAAACCAGTGCTTTATTTTGCTCTGACAGATTTCCTCCCGATTTCACAGTTATTAAACGTTCCCTGAGTATTTCCAGGCTCAGTCTGAGTCCTGCAGTGCTCCTGGGTAAGGATGGCACCTGCATTCCCTGGGGGCACATTTATTCCCCCACCTGCAGAGAGCTCAGGGCCAGGCAGTGGAAGGGAAAGACACATCCAACATCTCTGCAGAGCTGTGAGGAACTGCAGCCTGAGGTGTTTATTTATTTCCCATCACTGAGTATAAAGCAAGCCCAGACTCCTTGCTTGGACTGGATAATACTCTATTAAATATCCATACTCAGACAAGATACATCTCACCCTCAGTTCTCTAAATTCCTTTGAAGTTAGTGGTGCAAATAATTGGTACTATCTTCACTTGAACTCTAGTACTCAAAATACAAACTTTGCTTATGAAAAAGAACATGAAAATGTTCGAAAGCTGCTGTCTCAGCCCCACATTTCACCATCTGCCAACAGTCCCACCAAGTCCTCAGTCTTGGAGATGCAATTTTGAAGAGAAATTCGTAAGGAAGGGCATAAATACAAATAATTTGTAGTCATTCTACTATTGAAGAGAAAAAAACAAATTAATGTGGAGAGGAAGGGTGACTTTCTTAAATGTCAAGGGCTACAAGGGAAGAGGAAGTTAAATATTGGATTCAAATTAAACTAAATATTACTTCTAAAGTAAAATCAGTCCTGGTGAGAAAAAGAGCATTTCAGGAAGCAGCTGACCTGTTAAAGATTCTGAGTGCTCAGAGATGACCGGGGCTCATTTCATTATACAAAAGGTACTGCCTGCAAACATTTAATCAAAAAGAAATGTTCCTTTCTCCTTAATTAAAGTTCATAGATCAAAATTAATTTCTGCAGCAGAAAAGTAAAAAATAAAATAAAATAGCTGTAGTTGAGGCTTGGTGGCTCAGAGAGTCCTGGCTTGGGCTCTGGAGGCTGCTGAAGGACAGAGCAGTGACTGCTCCTCTCCATGATCCACCTGCTCTGCTGGGTGCAGACCTGGATTTCCTCATTCCCTCACTTTCTTTTACCTTATTCCCCCCTTTTTTTCCCAGTAGGTTACTATGCCTTTAGGACAGTGACTGTACCCTCACAGGTGCTGAAAATGCAGGTGGCTGAAGGTACAGAGCTCCCCAAGCCCACAGTTTAACCCTCCAAACCCCAAATCCCAATTAAACACTTCCCCAAGCGCTGTGTGTGTCGGTGCTTTTACCCACTTCTCTGTCTGTTGATATGTAGATATTGATATATCTGTGATTTATTGAAGCAATATACTACAACTGATTGTAATGCCAGGAAAACACAGTGAGACTAAAACTGATTTCAGAGCAAAACCTGGGGCTCAGCCCAAGGTTTGCTGCTGTCCTGCACCACAGCACACACAGCCCATCCTGCTCCCACTCCTGTCACAAAAATGCCCAAATGCCATAAAAATCAGACTTTAAAAAAAATCTTTTGAGGGAAATCAAGTCCTGTAAGTAAGAAAAAGCCTTTCCTTCGAACATCCCAGCTGCCCAGAGCACGTGGAAAGCCAAGCCTGCTCATACCTTATCACCTTGCAGTCCTTGCAGGTCAAATGAAGCTGAAATATATCCCGGCACTCCACGCTTTCGATGAGCTGCAGTGGAACCTGCAATTAAAAACAGTCATTATTTCATTTCAACAGTCATTTCTGTGCATATCTCATGAGGATTTATTGTAGGACCATATGGTAAGAGGGAGGAAAACAAAGAAATTCAAACTACTTCAGCAGCTCTGAAGTTTGGTAACATGTATTCATGTGTCAGCTCCACAGCCCAAAACCTTAAGGGATCCCATGGAAACAGCTGAGAATCCTTCAGGAAAGGCAGCACATATCCAAGCTCCTCTCTCATGGAAGTATTTTTCTCTCCTATAGATCCAAATTTAGGAATCTTAATATAATTTTAACTGTTGGTGTCCAAAGGGAGCTGCTAAGCAAGATCTGAGACTGCTGCAGTCTGGATGCTTTTCTATGGAAATATCCTGTACCTCCTCTTCAGGGAAAAACCATTTGGCCTGTTCAGATCAACACTGTGATTGAAGCAGCCCTCTTTAGAGTAATAATGCTGAATCTTTCATATTTGAGTGCAGTTATATGCTTTTATTTTTATGGCATGTGTAACCAGCAGAAGCTTGATCAGGAGAACATGAAAGCAGCTGAAATTACCTTTAAAGACAGGAAGAAACCACAAGATGAAAATGAATTAGTTTTCAGTAACAGTTTTGGACTTTTACCTGAGAGGGGCAAATGTACATTATTGTCTTAAACAAATAAAATTAATAAATGTCTAAATTTAGCCAATACCTACAATAAACACAAAGTACAAAACTGTTTGAATTGTTTATTGTATTGAACATTGCCCAAGGCAACAAACCCTCTGCCATGGGGATCGTCCAGTAACATTCCAATACTGTCTTTTGCCATCAGAGGACTGTGAGGAGGCAGTTTAAGGTCTGGTTTGGGGTACAAGATGTGGCTGTCAGAGCCTGCCCTGCCAGGGCCTTTCCAGACAGTTGGGCAAGTCCTTGAAGGTCACCTCCAGTCAAGGATCTGGGATAAGGAATCCAGACAGACACCACAAAGCTTAAAAAGGACTGGACTCAAGGAAATGGAACTAAAAACAGTAGACAAGGGGAAGAGATATCCCAGAAATACAAACCAGAGGAAAACTTGCTCCGAGCAGGAAGATGCCTGGAGCAAACTCCTGTGCCCAGGAGAGGGAGGAGAACTCTGCTGTCTCTGGGAAGCCCAGAGTCCTCCTCTGAGTGCAAACCCCAAATCAGTGCCAGAGCTCACAGCCCCAGACTACAAAAGGCAGGGATTGCTTAAAGCTCAGCTCAGAGCAGAACCCAGAGGCAGCACTGGGCTGTCCAGAGCTGGAGAGGGACCAGCCTGCTGGGCCAGGGGGGTTATCCTGCTCCTTTGGTTGTAGCTGGATGTTAAATGACAGACAATCCAGGCACAAGGAGACTGGGCAAGAAGGTGCCTGACCCTACGGCCCAGTAGGTTGGATATTCAAATAATTTTGACTTTTGGTCTGTTTTCAGTATTATCTCTGGCTGAGACCTGTGACAGTCTAATACACCTGACAGAAGTGGTGACTGGAATCTCTCCTGGGAGACAGGCCCCTCTTTGCCAGCCCTAAGCTCAACCTGAGTGCAGGTGACTCTGCCAAGGCAGCAGGAGACTGAAGTGCATCACAGACCACAGGTGTCCTTTCCATAGGCTAATCCTTGTATTTGACCTGCTCATTGCTTCCACACCTTCTCCTGATTGCTTCTAGGCTGCAAGGCAGGCAGATTGTGACAGTGTTGTCTGATAAATGGACTGGAATGGATCCTGACTGGAGAATCTTCCAGTCTTTCTTCCTGACTGGACAGCCTCATATGCACCTAACAATAATTCTCAGGAAGGATTTCTTCATGGAAAGGGTGGTCAGGCCTTGGAAGGGGCTGCTCAGGGAGGTGGTGGAGTCCCCACCCCTGGAGGTGTCCAAGGAAGGACTGAAGGTGGCACTCAGTGCCCTGGGCTGGGGGACAGGGTGGGGATGGGGCACAGGGTGGACCTGACAATCTTGGAGGTCTCTTCCAAACTAAATGATTCCATTACTCTCTAATAAGTTATTTAAATCTACCACTGAGTTAAATGGCACCAACAGGGAAAGTAAGGTACCTCTCCCCAACTAAGGTCAGATTCCAGACTTGCTTTTTTACTCCAATGTTGCTTTGTCTTTTAATATCTTTTTTCCCCACGCCCTCTTCTATTGCCTTTTTTCCCCCATGTCCATCTTCATTCAAGCAGTTCTCCACCTTGCTCCCTCCTCCTGGCTCCTCTTCCTCTGTCTGCACTGGAATGACATACTAATTCTCCTCCTGCATTGTTTTAATTTCCTTCTTTCAAAGTCCCTCTTTGTTCCCTCCCTCTCCCTGTGCTCCCCAGCCATCCTTTCTCCCCTGACAGCCCACGCGCAGCCATTTCCTCACAATCTGCACGTTTTTCTTCAGGACAACCTTCCTATTAATCTTTTTAATTTTCTTTCCCAGTCATAAAAACCTGTCCTCCGCTCCTCTTGTGTTTTCAATCTCCTTCCTGGCCATTATTCTTCCCCCAGGAAAGCTCTGTAGAATTATCTGCTGCCGCTCCCTCCCTGCCCTGATAACCTTCCCTGCCCATCTTTCAGGCTGATGCCAGTCAGACACCCAGAGCCTGTTCTTGGGAGAGACATCAATTCCATCTGCAGGCACTTCCCTCTGATAATGGCACTGAAACCAAGCAGGGAGAAGCAATCATTTCTGCTTTTATAAGAATAAACATGCATTGTTATCTGAGCCCAATTACATCCCATTACAGGGACTACTGGAGCATCCTGCTCTTGCTGTATCTCTCTCCTGATTGCCTCTTCTCCAAAATTATCTCATTTTAAATAACAGCAACATTCTACAACTCAAACTTTTTATTTTTGAGGGTGTTTTTTTAATGATTTTGATGACTGGAACTGTCTGTTATCTTACACCAGTACAAGACATACCTAGAGAATGTAGTTCTCTGTAGTTAGAGAAAGCACAAGTTGCATTTCACTGCTGAAACAACCAGCCCATGGCTCAATCCATGCCCACAGTTCCCAGTGGGATGCAGTGGACCACTGCCAGGCTGCAGTAGGCACAAGTAACTCTGCTGCAGACCTTCCCTGTGCACCATTTGGCCCCAGTCCCTCCAGGACATCCCGTGGCACCCAGGCCATGGGCTGTAATTCCTTGTATTTCCTTGTTTTCCCAGCTCAGAGCTGGAATAATGTCAAGGTGATGTTCCAGGCTGGTGACTTTAACAAGCACTTGGGCAAGGCTGGGTGTCCTGAAGCGTGGGATGATGTGACACAGGGAGGCACCGAGGGCTCCGAGGTGCAGGGAGCTCATTCCCACCCGGGTCCACAGAACCTACAAGGAGCATCTGAAGCAAATTTTGCTTTTCATTACAACTGATGACACTTGGGTTTTGTCTTGAAGGCCATCACTGAGCCCTCTCTGCTCTCACAGTCATCGTGCTCTGAGTGTGAACAACTTGAGTGGCAGGACAAGACAAGGGCTGAGCTCCTCTCCAGCAGGTATGGACATAAGGAATATCCCAATCCAACCATTTTTCCAGTAAAGGCCAAGCAAGGGAAAGCTCACACTAAAACTCACCTCATCACCAAGACTGAAAATCTCTCCCATCATGACTTTTTTTTTCTGCAGTGTGTCCAAAATGCACCACTGGAAAGAGGCCCCATGCAATCCATGCTTTCCTGAACTGCACTGAAATGTTAATTCTCCCATCAATGCCATCAGCTTACAGGGAGAAAACACAGAAACACTCCCAGCTGCAAAGCTGGACATTTTCTTAAGGAATCAATAGGGATGGGCCTGGGAACCAAACCTCCCATGTGCCCCTGAGATCCCTGTTGAGTCTGCACTTCAATCCCCTGGATAAATGTAAGTCAACACTTCTGAATGTCATAATCCCCCTGATTTATTCATGGTCTGCAGGATGTTTTGTTTTTGCATTTGAAACACCGTGTTCCCATTAGCACTGTGATCTAGGAAATGATCCATGGGAGTGATTCCCACACACAGCCATGTCTGCACTGCTGGATGGGACCAGGAGCAACTTTTGAACAGTGTTTCTTTCCCAGCAGGTGCAGGAGCTGCTGGGGAGCTCTGGGAGGAACACTGGGGTGGCACAGGCACCGTTTTTGTGAGTTGTAACCAAAAAAGAGCACAGAGAGGTAAAAACAAAGGCCAGGGATCCATTTGTAACTGGATTCCTGTCCCTTCATGCAGTGCCTTTAGTAGGTGGTACCATGGGAATATCCCACCTCCTTCCAGAGGAGGTTCCAGCCCAGAACTGCTGCACATCCACACACAGGGAATCAATTTGTTTCACAGGTTCTATTACACAGATGTTTGCTGGGAATCCTCTTTCTTACACAGAAATACTTGTGTTCACTGAGGTGACAAGTCTTCAGTGTGGTTGCCCTCAGGACAGGGATTCTTATGAAAATCATTCCAAGTAATAAAAAAACCCAATTCCTAACATTAGGAAACATTTATGCATTTTTAAAAATATCTTCTTATGGGTGTTTTCTGAACAGCTCTAGTGATGGAAAACCAGCAGGAAAGAATCAAATGAACTCAATGAAAAATTACTCAGTGAGGATTTAATTTAGAAAATCAGCATCTGATCAATAATTTTGATCAATAATAACCAAAGGGATTATTGCCCCCAAATTTAACAATTTAAATATGGTCCTTAACTACTGCAGGAATGTTTTATCCTTAAAGACACTCCAAGCCCTCTCTGCCCTGGATTCCAGTCGAGTTCACAGCACATTATTAGTGATGGTCATATATGGCTTCAAAGAGTGATTTATATTCTGCTCTACCTCATACACTAATTGATTATTTCTGGTTAATGATGTTGATGATAATGAGGTATCACAGAGAGTGAGAGGGCAGAACACTGGATATGAAAGTCAGGGAAGCAAAACTGACGTGGTAAAACTGACAAACTTTTATGGAATCTTTCCTGAACACAAACAAAGAACATGGTTTGATAAAGCATCAATTCCTGCTACTGCCCAAAAATACTGAACTGAAAATTCCTAAAAATTAATGACCCCAATTATCCTGAGGACAGCTGTGACAGGAAGTGCAGTCCATGCACTAGTGGCTTCCCTAATAAAGCAAATCCATCATTCCCTGGCATTCCTGAGGACACACTCCTGATTTCCAAGGTCACTCCTGTTTTCACATCTCAGCTCCTTGTTGTCCAACATTCTATCCTTCCCTTTGGCAATTCCAGTTGCCAATTCCATACAATGAGACTCTGACTCACAAAATCCAGCAGGAAGGAACACACTATAGATTTACATAACAGATTGCAACCCTGGAATTGAGGTTTGTATCCCAGAGCAGCAGAGGAATCCTATAAAACCCCTGCCTCCCCTGGCTGGAGCTCCCCAGGTACCCCACACCCCACAGAGCCCTCACCACCACCCCAGGGGCACCTACACCTTCAGAGTTAAGTCTCGAGTCCCAGTTCAGGTTTAACTACAGAGTAAGAGAAGAGAAAAGTCAAGTGATGCTCCCCCTAAACATGCACACATTGTACCACCTGCTCTGGACAGTCAGCAGTGGGAAACAACAGCCCTCACATTTCCAGTTACATTTTTGTCCTCATTTTTTTGCCATCATTTTGAGCAACTGCCACAGTCAGAAATAATACCCTACTTGGCTGAAAACCCCCAGTTCATGAAGGTTATCCCTGTAATGCTGCACACACAAGTTCATCAGGAGCAGATGTGCTTGTTCAGCCTAAAACACTGACAGTTCATGAACTACAATGCAGTGACTTGTGATAACCATGACCCAGCCACACTCCAAAGCCTGTAGGTAACACAGCTACATGACTAAACACTGAAGACTGAGTTTCAGTTCATAACCAACATCTTTACAGAGTTAATAATTCAGTTCTGGCACAAAACCAAACAAAAACTTGAAATTTAAGATTGACATGGCATCAAAAATTAAATCAGGTGCTGATTAAAATCCTCCCTGTGAGGGTGGGGAGGCCCTGGCACAGGTTGCCCAGAGAAGCTGTGGCTGCCCCTGGATCCCTGGAAGTGTCCAAGGCCAGGTTGGAGGGGGTTTGAAGCAACCTGGGCTAGTGGGAGGTGTCCCTGCCCATGGCAGGGGTGGCACTGGATGAGCTCTGAGGTCCCTTCCAACCCAAAGCATTCCATGACTCTGTGGTGTCTCACATCACTGGGTCATGTGTGTCTGTCATGTATGAGTTGGACACTTGTCAACTCCTATATTTTGCTTCCCTTGCTTCTCCCAGCTCTGGAATAACACACAGTTTGGGGGCTGACACTTAACTCACCCCTGCAGAGTTCAGGGTCTGTGACTGACACTGGCAGTTGGGAATTAGCCAGGGTCAGGAATTGGGTTGGAATAAGGAGACTGGTAAAAATAAGGAGACTTGGGTTGGAATGAGGAGACTTTTCTCATCAGGAGAAAAAAAAATGCTTTGAGTCTTTGGATTTTATTTTACTGGGTTTATTATAAATTCCCACAAAAATAAATCCGTGCCATGTGTAATGTCCTGTCAAACTCTACATAATCCACAACTGGTGTTACAACTGGTCTGTGTCAGCGTCACCCCCCTGCACAGGAGCATCCACCACCCAGTTAATTTGTGCCTGTGGCCATGAGGAGGTGGATAAGCAACAATTTTAAAGAATGGACACTTGGCAAAAAGCTCTTTAAAGCAGTGCAGCTGAAGGTGAGGTCCAGCTCCAGATCTCTTCTGTCAGTGACTGTACTCACACCACCCAATGTCTGCACATCACTGCAGCAGCTGGACCCACTTCCACCCTTTTAAGCTCCAAGCAAGGCATAATCAAGCTTTGATGCTCCAAAAGCCCTTTGGAAGAGGTTTTATTTCTCCCATTCAGAGCCTGGGGAGAAGCCATGGCTGACAGAGCTGTAAAGTGAACATCAACTTGAGTGATGTGACATTTCCTCAGGAAACTCCATTTTCAGAGGTGCTGAGTCACCTTTTGGTGCCTTAATAACTCTTTGCTCTCCCTGAGAAATGGGATTTGATTTTGGTGTATCTATGTACACCAAAATCTACGTATCTGTTCTCCCTGAGAAATGGGATTTGAACACTATAAAGAGACTTTTTCCTTACCACCACCCTTAAAAGGCGGGATCACCGAGCTCTCATCCTAAACTCTGGTTTGGTGATGGAGATGAGCCCAGAGGGTGAGCAGCACTTACATTCACAACAGACTCCTTGAACTTGATGTGCAGCCTGTAGTTGGACAGTGCTATGATGGCATCCTCTGCTCTCCCCACGTACTCCGTGCTCTCCCCGTGGAGTTCGATGAACGGCACCTGCACAAGGAGAAACCTTTCAGCAACACCCTCAGATCACACTGGAACCCTGCTAAGGCCAGCTCAGAGGTTAATTGTAGCTTTTTCTTAAGTGGTCCCTCATTTTCGGTTCCTTTTCCTGAGTGGGAAGTGCTTGCTCGGGGAAAGCAATGAATTTTTATGACAAATATGCTCATATTTTGGCAAGCAGGCTGGCCAAGCCCTTGAATTATGCTCTCACACTCCTTACTTAATGGAGAGTGGCATTTCCATAATGTCATTAAATCCATCCTAAAGTAGGCAAAACATCCAAGATGAATAATCTCCTCTGCTATTTCCCCAATATTCACCACGTAAGCTCAGGTAACCAGCCAAGACTGGATCCCCCAATGCATCACAGCTCAAGTCAGCTGGACAAATCCTACCTTCTGCTTCATATTTCTCACTGCAAATATGAAAATGCCCAACATGCTGCTGCTTTATGAAGTTAGAAAACCTGCAGTGACATCACACTGCACATTTAATTACAAATGGGACTTAAGCCCAGTTTAGCTGAGCTGAGTGAAAAGTGTAAATGCTCAACTTCAAAATAATCTGGTTTTACACCAACTTAGCTTAGATCAAGTAGAAATATTTTATATTACAATGAAAGAAACCACATCTTCAGTTGATATAAGAGCCAGGCTGGGAGAGCTGGGGGGGTTCAGCTGGAGAAGAGAAGGCTCCAGGGAGAGCTGAGAGCCCCTTGCAGGGCCTAAAGGGGCTCCAGGAGAGCTGGAGAGGGACTGGGGACAAGGGATGGAGGGACAGGACACAGGGAATGGCTTCCCACTGCCAGAGGGCAGGGAGAGATGGGATATTGGGAAGGAATTCCTGGCTGTGAGGGTGGGGAGGCCCTGGCCCAGGTTGCCCAGAGAAGCTGTGGCTGCCCCATCCCTGGAAGTGTCCAAGGCCAGGTTGGACAGGACTTGGAGAACCTGGGATAATGGGAGATGCCCGTGCCCATGGCAGGGGGTGGGACTAGTGGAAGGTGTCCCTGCCCATGGCAGGGGTGGGACTGGAATATGCTTTAAGTACCTTTTCAACTCAAACACTTCCAGGATTCTGTGGCAAATGATTTGAACTAAACTGATTTCAAAAGGAACTTTGGAAAATCAACAAATCAAAAAATATCCATTTTTTGTGCAACATAAGGCTTCTGGCTTCCCAGTAACCACATGCAGTGGCAGTGTTTAATTAGCTTAGTGTTGTTTTTTTTTTAAGAAACACAGAGTTCTAAACTCTGGAATAAAACCTGGCACTTGACATTAGTACAAATAACGATATTTTTCTGACACTCTGAGGAACCTCTTGTACTGTAATGCTGAGTTCTCTGTTCTACCAACAGTACTGGAGGATTTAAGGAGAAAATGAGCTTCTGCTACTCCTGTGCTAATTGTGAATTCAAATGCTGCAGGAGAGGCCCGAGAATCCACAGGTCAGCTGGAGATCTTGTGATCCTGCCTGGCCAGGAGCAGGGTGGTGATTACCTGAAGGTTCTCATCCTCTCGGATCAGCTGCTTCCTGGGAAAAATCTGATTAGCCTGGATGCATTCAAGGCTGTGCTGAGTCTCTTCATCCTGAGGAACAAAGTGTTAGTTACCCTCAGATGTCACTCACAGGAGCTGTAAACAACCACGGCAAAAGCTCACACGGGATGCAGAGTTCAGGGAATTCAGGGAGCAGCAACTTTAGGAAGTTGCTGAACTTTCACAGACAGGCACTCAGACAACTGAATGTGATATTGGGAACAGGTTTCCTTCTGCAGCCTGATTAATAAAGTCATTAAAAATACAGAAAGATTTATAGCAGCATTAGGAAAAAAACATTAGCCTAGACTAGCACTGTGCTTGAAACTCAACAACCACCCATGTAAACGTTAATTCCCTAAAGTTTTTCAGATTTTAAACTCTTCTGCTCTGAGAGAGACCCTACAAACCCCTCTTGCTTACCATGACAGGCCCTGGATGGGAGGAGAAATCCTCGTCTTTACTCCCAGTACTTCGAGGCTCTTGTCTTACTAAAATCTAGAAAACCAGAAGAGCATAACGATGAAGTTACAGTCATTTTCTTTCAGCAAATAAATACAAATTAACTTTTAAAGACTGAGAATGTAGGTGTTAGAAAACTGGGAGCAAACAGTAATTATGAAAAGATGAAACCCATACAAGCTCACTCTCCCGAGAGCCAAAATTGTTTCAAATTGTGTCTGGCTCCTTCTGTTCCTCCTGAAAAATCACCCTTGGAGGTGCTGCTGGGAGAACACCTGTCTGAAGGCAGCAATTAGACCAGGGTTTACAGGATGGCAATTAAATCACATTCATTTTTCTAGGTCCCCTGGAATTTTCTCCCAAGTCATTTGCAGATGGTGAATCACAAATCTGTGGGTTATAAATCCAAAGGGATTGTTGGGATCACTTTGTCTGCTCTGATGTGAAACACGGGATGTTGGATCCTCCTGGGACAATCCTGGTTCAACTGTGGCCAGTGAACTGGAATTCCTACTCATATCAAAATGCTCATTTGACAGTTATGGCTCATTTTTAATATCCATGGATGCATCAGAACACCCATTTCCCTGCACTGCCCTTTCCCAGAGCCCCAGATCACTGAGCACCAGGGACCTGCTCCCTCCCCCACCCAACAATTCCCAATCCTTGATCAGCTGCAGTGTCTGGAATTACTGACAGGGGCCTTCCTGCAAATCACCCAATTGGGAACTTAATGACTGAACACAAGAGTTACAATTTGATTTGGAGACTGATCTCACACTCAGCTTGCTAAATCCAGTAGGTTCTTCCCTTTTTTTACTAAACCAGGATTCATCCAGGTATTTTATGGGACTTGCAGACAGTGGCACATTAAAGATACAAATGATAAACTCGAGTCCAGTCAGTTCTCAGTTCATATGTCACTAATAAATACATTTCAGATTATCAGAGAAAACCATTTCAATGCCCTTCAATCCACGAGCTCGGCACAGCAGCACTGCAGGGAGCCCTAAACACATCCTGCACATTGTATGGAACATTGACAGAGGGAAAAGGAGCAGCAGATGCACACAAAGGATGGGCACAGATGTGTGTTTGTATATATAAATAAAAGGAGGAAATTATGAGCAGAATCGAGCTGAAACTGCCATTAATTCACTAAAATTAATGCAAGAAGTGGATATAAAATCCTAACTTCAAAAAATTAAGAAAAATAAAAGCTAGGAGAGTTGATAGAAGACTGGATCTATTAACTAGGGAAATTGATAAGGAAAAATAATACAAAACAGCCCAGAAACTTCCATGCCTGTAGCAATGGAGAGGAGGAACATTCTTTTAAGTTATCAGAAACTAAGGAATTGTAGAAATGTTGTCTACCAACAGCACAATAAGACAGTAACATTGCTAATATTGGTTTAAGGCAGGGCTACTTAACATTTCAGTCTCAAAAAGGCAGGATTATTTAACATTTTTGTTCAAAAGAAGCAGGGAAGAAGAACGGATCATGTGTGATAACCCATGCTGTGACTGATGAGAACATCCAAGGAGCACAATGACTAAAGCTTAAAAGCCCATAAATTCATCAGGTTTGATCTTTAATGTTTCAGAGACCATAAAATCCCAGCCCTTGTACTGAAAAGCAGAGCTGGTGGTGATTCCAGCATGACTTGGCACTTTAGGGACGTTGTGTTCAGGGATTTCTCTCCCAGACCCACGTCTGGTCCTGGCCTGCAGCTCCCAAACAAGCCAGGGTTCAGCAGTGCCCCCAAATCCATCTGGTTCCTGCTTCCAACCCTTGGTTTTCACGGTGGGTTTTCACATTCCACGATTCCCATTCTCCTCCCTCTCCAAGATTTAAAAATGAGCCTCCTGCTCAATTAAATTTAGGGAGATGGCTGAGCAACAGCCTGACTGCCCAGTCACCCTCCATCGTCCAGCTCATCCTCAGGGAAGGCAGAGCCTGGATTAACTCTGCAGCATGTCCTGATATAATGAAGGGTAATGATTCCAGAGAGTATGGCTTTAAAAACTGCAGAGTTTACACAAACCCCCTTTTTCAGCCCTAAAATCACGTTGAGCTGGCACACGCAGCTCTCACACCTACAGCCCACAGTGGTGGAGATGGGGGGTATGTTTGTGAACTTTTCTATTGGGAACTCTTGGGTGAACATCTGGGGTGGGTTCCACAGGCTGCTGGAGGCACCACTGCCTTCTGTACCCCCACCCCCACCAGTGCAGGCCTGCTCTGCCAGGACAGTCCTGAACACCAAACATCCCAGAGCCCCTCTGCTCTGGAGCCAGGCTGGGAGAGCTGGAGGGTCACCTGCAGAAGAGAAGGCTCCAGGGAGAGCTGAGAGCCCCTGGCAGGGCCTAAAGGGGCTCCAGGAGAGCTGGAGAGGGACTGGGGACAAGGGATGGAGGGACAGGACACAGGAATTGGGCTTCCCACCTGTTTTTTCCCAGAGGGGCAGGGCGAGCGATGGATTATTGGGAAGGAATTTGGCTCGTGAGGGTGGGGAGGCCCCTGGCCCAGGTTGCCCAGAGATAGCTTGTGGCTTCCCCTGGGATCCCCTGGAAGTGTCCAATGGGGCCAGCGTTGGATGGGCTTGGAGCAAAACCTGGGGCTTGGTGGAAAGGTGTCCCTGCCCATGGCAGGGGGTGGGACTGGATGAGCTTTAAGGTCCCTTCCAACCCAAACCATTCCATGATTCTATGATATAAAAAATACCTTTCTATTTAAGAACTTCCTTCAGCTTCACACACAATTATCAAAGAAACACCAACCTAATTAAAAAGATGGGCTTTATTACACTTTTGAGGAAAAGATTTAATCTATTAGGAACTGCACTGGACAAAATTGTTCTTTTGTGCTTCAGATTGATTAGATATATTTAAAGTTTATTATATAACCACCTACATATTAATAAAATCAGTATTAGCTTAAAAAAAAATTAAGTCTTCTAAAATATCTTACAGCTGTGCTCCTAAAATCCAGCACACACCACCAGCAGAGACTACCCAAATTACTGCCCAACTTTCAGTCTAACTTGTGCACTGAGCTGCAAAACAGCTTTTATCACAACAGTGTGGCTTTTTCCATGAATGTTAGAATCTTCCTTTTTAAGGGGAATTTTGGGAAAGCTGCGTGGAAAAAAATCTGCCTGTTTCAGTTTTAATCAGGATTATCAGACACAAAGGGCGATGCTGCCAAGATAAATGGTACAGGAGGTCCAGGACTGGTTCTAAAGCAAACACTGCAGGGTCTGGGGACCGGTGAAACGCTCCAGCGGCGCCGCTGCCGCCGCACAAAGGAGTCCTGAAAAGCGCTGACAGGAACAGCAAGAAAGGCTGAGCTGGTACAATGAACTCCCTGATCTGATGGGCACTGAACATGCTGAAAGCAATAATGCCTTTCCCACCATGTCAACAGGCTGATCCCACTCCATGAGCTCATGGTCACCGGGCTGAGCCCCAGGGAAAGGGATGGACCACACAGTGCTCAGGGGCGGCCCCAGGAGCTCTGATCCACAGGGATCTCCACTCCCGACCATCCCAGAGCCTCCAGCCCCTTCCCAGGGCAGCAGACTGCTCCAGGCCAGCCACGGGGAGAGAAGGAGGATCAATGTCTGTGGACACCTCGTAAGGAGATCCTGACTTTAGAAGTGAGAACAGGAACATTCTTCCCATCACCAACTCCACCAAGCACTCCCAAATTCTCCCCACGGGAATTCCCCACCATCCTGCTCTGAGGACAGAGCCAGACCAGCCCCAGCTGGCTGAAGAAACCCCTTCCCAAGCTGACCCATCCCCTTTTTGGGGGTTAGTTGCAGAATGGAATGAGAATTCTCGTTTTGTTTCACTGCAGTTGGCAAATAATCAACTCTTCCCTGACAGTTAAACCCATTTCCCAGAATTAAAATGGAAAGGGTGGAATGCAGCTCAGATAACAACTGACCAGGAAAACGTTGTCAGGAAAGCTCCATCAAATTCAGGCTCCTCCTTATCAATAGGATCATACAGAAATAGCAGACAGCTTATACACAGTGCAGGGAAATTTGCTGTTATTGGTAGAAATAATGTTGGTTTTGGCCAGCACTGAGGCCAAAAAAGGTGATATTATCAATTTACTGGGTTGCCATTGCACCTGCAATTTCATGTGTATTAAATTACAGCAAAAAAGAGGTTGTACTTATTAATTCTGCATCCCCACATTCTGCTTGAAAGGATAAATGATGAGCAAAGGTTGTAACCTCAGACTCTGCTCAGACTCTATGGGAACATCTTAATTACCTTTTGTTTCAGATGTGCCTTCTGGCCTAAATTATGTGCATAATTAAGACTAGCAATAACCATCTGTTTGCCAGTGATTCTAAACAAAAAAGATTATATAAATAAAGGATCATTTAGATTCACATATATTTAGATGTAGCTGGACTTATAGTAAGAAAAAAGAAAAACTGGAGGGGAAAAAAGGAAAAAGGAAGTACCCAGGAGTTTAACTTTGTTCCACATCCAGATTCTGAACTCCTTTTATTTTAATATCAGAATCAAACTGAGTTGCCCCTGAGCTATTTACACTCTGTGGCACAGTTGCCCTCTAAGTCTGAGACTGGAATCCAAAGGTTTTGGCAAGGGACCATCAGAAAATCTGAGAATTAAACATTCAGGAATGTGACCTACCTTGGGCAAAAGATGCTTCTGTTGTAAAGTGAAAACTCTTCCTCCCCTTTGGCAGGTGGAAGGAAATTTCTGAGATAAGGATAAACACTCTGCTTCCCTCATTTCAACCCCTGGGTTTCTCCTCTTTCCTGGCGCCACAGGCAGAAGTAACTGGATAATATTTACTGGGGAAGCAGCTGACAACTTATGGCACATTGTTCAGGAATAGGAGCAGGACAAAGAATTCTGCTGGAAGACTGTGCACAACTGAGAGTCAGAGTCTTTTTTTTAATAATGAAAGGTTGCAACCTCCAACTCAGTAAAATATTGATTTTTGTCTAAGGTCTTGGAAAACACTTCATTTAATTAAGAGAGTAATCAATGATAACCAGAGAATCCACCTTCAACAGGCAGCTGATCTTACCCAAAAAATGCAATTCTTACCAAAGAACGAGAGAATAAACCAGTCCTCTCTTGTCCTGGAAAGTTCCAACTATTCTCTCCTGGTACTTCACATTGGCAGCTGCAAATGAAAAGACAATACTTTAAAATATGAACCTTTATTTGAAAAAAACACTTCTGAAACAGCAGCTGAGACAGGAGACTCCTCCGTTGGGTTTGGCTTAATTAAAGAAAAGGAAAAAGTTTAACTGCTGTGTAAGTTGTAACTACAACTTAACATGCCCAAAGAGGGAATTCCATGACCGGATTCCAACGGATACACGTGTGCTGGATGAGGCCTCTGTTCTGGTAAGGAGCAGTTCCAAAATCCTGGCCACAAAGCCATTCAGATTTTTTGGTTTTTTTAACTAGTGGACAAAAATTAAAATTATTCAGAAACACGAGCTACAGGAAAGCACTTTTACAGAAGGTCCAAGTGGGTTTATATTGATCTTCAAAAGTGGTTTTTAATTTCACACTGAAATAAGCATTTTCCCCCCAAGAAAGCAGATGAAGACCCCAAAGAGGGGTTGTTGCTTTAGGCCACTGGTGTGAAATCCAAGGGGAACAGCAATGCTCCTGAGACCCCTCTTCCCAAGCCCTATCTTTTGGACTTCCCAAGTGCTGCACAAACAGTCATTGCCTCAAAAGTAAATATAAATATGCCACAAATATGTATCTGTCGAAACAAATACATGGAGAAAGGACCTGAAGTGCTTCATTCCTCCAGTCCTCCAGCAGGTGTTCCCAGATGTCTCCTCCAGCTCTGGAATGACTGCTGGGACACAAAGTTTCACACTAAAACACCCAAACCCTGCAATTCAAGTCCCAGACTGAACCCAACCGTTCCTAAAGCACACAAGCAGCCAAACTGATGGGACAGATTTGCTCTTCCCAGTGACTTGGACTCTCTCCCAACAGCACTCTGCCTCTGGATGTGGCTGGAAGGTCCAGCTTCTACACTATATAATCCTGCTGCTGGAAATAGTTTGCCTGTGCTTTGATGTGCCACAACTACTGATAATTTTCACCTTCTGGTCCATTAAATAAAATAAATTTCTGTTTTGCATTCATTGCATCCTTTAGTTTATGGTTTGTGACGGGGAAAATAAGAAATAAAAAGAGGAGACAATTTTAGGACTGACGCAGTAGAAAGAAACAGTTTAAGAGGTTGTGCATTAAAAATTGTGCATTTCAAGTAGTTGTGCCTCTGGCCCAGCATTGCTGGGTGAGGGAGGGGATTGTCCTGCTCTGCTCTTCCCTGGTGCAGCCTCATCTCAAGTCCTGGGGGCAGTTTGGGGCACCACAATATAAGAAAGATCTAAAGCTTAGATCTCAGGTGCACCAAAAGAAATTCTACCATTGCACACGGTGTTCCCACTCTGGGGAATCTCATGGGTCTGCATTCAGCCAGTATTTACACAAACAGTGACCTGAGGATGCTGTGCTTTAACAGAAAGGGTCTGTGTCAATGCCAACTGTCCAAACCCTCAGCTAAACTTCAATTTACCATTTTATAAAACAGTTTCTAAAAGCAACATTTGGTTACCTGCAACAGAGCTCAACTTTGTTTGTATTTTTTTTTAAAATCCCTCTCGACCAACAAGCCAAACACCAATTCCAGTAACTTTTCTGGGTCAATAATCAACCCCAGCCCCCAAAGGGGAATGGACACAGTTTTACTTTGAGGTACCAACTTGATCGTGCGACAAGTTCAACTTCACAGCTGCCTGCTGGTACAAAGTCACCTTTGAGGGGAATATGGAGCAAGTTTATTAAACACCAAAAAAAAAGAGCTCTGGAGGCAAACTACACAACTCCAGAATGACTCTTCAGAGACAGTTTTCTGGCCACGTATTTGCTTTTCAAAAGGCAAGACACACATTTCGAGTCGCAGGAGTTGGACTGATTTTCTGTGGTTTAGGTCCAAGAGAAGAGAAAAAAAAAACAAACCTTCACAAAATCTGCAACAGGCTTTTTATTGATTTTAATGAGGCTTGGAAGAAGCCACCAAACCTCCAGAGTTTTGTCGAGGAGTTTAAAAACAGGGGGAGAAGGTTCCAATGTAAGCGTTAATAATTCCACCCGATTCCTGCCAGCAAACACCCCCCCAGCGCTCATCAGCATTCCTGCTGCAGGGCTGCTGGGCTCAGATAAGCACCTCCAGTGTTATCACTTCCTAAGGCAGCAACTTGTGCCAAAAGAAGGGGGAAAAGCTGCCTGTAAGAAGAAATGTCGCTCTGAGTTGTACTGTCCTCTCCCAAACGCTAATTCCCGACGGAGGCACATCCCGGCCCCGGGGTGACTTTAATTAACACAGCCAAGCACATCCCAGGGGGCTGCCCCTCAGAAGCACCTCGGCTGTTTGAGCCACAAGGAATGGATTCAGCACCATTGGGAAAGCCAAAGGTAGGAGATGGAAAAGGGAACAGGACCCTTTCAGTAAATCCTATAAAGTCAAGTGTGCCTGGTAAGGAACTGGCTCTGCACCACCTTTACTGGACTGTCCCGTTCTCAGCTGGTTTGGTTTGTCCCAGAATGGTTTGGGCTGGAAGGGACCTTAAAGCTCATCCAGTCCCACCCCCTGCCATGGGCAGGGACACCTTCCACTAGCCCAGGTTGCTCCAAGCCCCGTCCAACCTGGCCTTGGACACTTCCAGGGATCCAGGGGCAGCCACAGCTTCTCTGGGCAACCTGGGCCAGGGCCTCCCCACCCTCACAGCCAGGAATCCCGCTTCCAATATCCCAACCTAAACCTGCCCTCTGGCAAGTGGGAAGCCATTCCCCTTTGTTCCTGCCCTCCATCCCTTGTCCCCAGTCCCTCTCCAGCTCTCCTGGAGCCCCTTTAGGCCCTGCAAGGGGCTCTCAGCTCTCCCTGGAGCCTTCTCTTCTCCAGGGGAACCCCCCCAGCTCTCCCAGCCTGGCTCCAGAGCAGAGGGGCTCCAGCCCTGGCAGCATCTCCGGGGCCTCCTCTGGACTCTCTCCAGCAGCTCCACGTCCTCCCTGTGCTGTTCCCAGGGCTGGAGGTGGGGTCTCACCTGAGGGGACAGTGGGGGTCAATCCCAACCCCTGGTTTCAGATCACTTCAGTTCAGGTGCTCAAGGCCGTCCCGTCACTGCCCAACTCACACCTGTCAGCAGTGACTCTGCCCCAGGGCCCCAGTGCTGAAGGGGTGGGAACAGGAGCATTTAAACTTAAGCTTTTCCTTTGAACCACCTTCTTCAGATCCTGCTCCACTGACTATTTTGGGAACTCGGGCATGAGGTGAACACTTTTCCCAGCATACAGCTCTCACCTCTGTTGTTTTATCATGAAAGATGCTATGGAGAAGCAGAGCAGCTGCACTGTATATCAATCACACTGTAACAGTGAAATACAAATAGAAATACAATTGTGGGGTAAACTCCAAATAATGGTTTCCAACTTGTAGAACTTTTGTCCCTGGAGATATTTCAACCCTTGGAATTCCAAGTCCTTAAGCAATCCAATCCAACATCAAAGTCAGTCCTACTCTGAGCAGTGTTGGTCTACAGGAACTCCAAAATCTAAATTACATGAGCCTCTAACAATGTTTTTCTTGACATTTATTTAAGTAAAATATTGGCAAATAGCTAGGAAAAGCACTCTGGAGAAGTTCTAATAAACATGTTTGTTTAATTAGGTGATTGGGAAGTTGCCTCTTCAGTTCCTTCACTGAAAGGCTCTATCTACCCAGAGCAGGAGAGGGATGGTCTGATAAGCAGAAAGTGAAATGGCACAAGGGAAAAAGAGCTTTGGAAAACAAACAAATCCAGATTTTCTTTAGCTGCAAGTTGCCCTCATAAGGATGTAAACAAACACGGCCACGTGCAGCGTTTTTCCTGGGGACTGTTTTGCAGGTGTATTTTCCCTCCCTTTGCCCAAAGGTGCCGTTTCCAGCCCGGTTGTGCCACCCCCTGTCCCAGCCCGATATTATGCAAGTGTGGGGTTTGATGAGAAGTTCTCCATTCCTGTTTACATTTCTAACTTCCCAATATCACTGGTCCCACATCCCCGACCAGTGCCGTGGCAGAACCTCCTCTTGCACCCAATTATCACACACTCACCATTGATTTCATCACCTTCAGCTCAGCTCGAACTCAAGTATTGGCCGTATGCTGTTCTTCTCCTCCTCTCTCCTCCTGTCCTTCCTAGTGGATTTTAGCTTGCTTTCCCAACTATTTTTATGCTCTCCTGAGTGTGCTCAGGAACAGGAACACAGTGCTACTATCAGCTGCCCACCAGCTGGGGTGAGCCAGCAGCTTGTGGCCGAGCTGGAAACCACAGCAGGATGAGAGCACTGGGAACGCTCCGGGGGCTGGATGGGGCAAGGCCACTCCTCAAGAGAAAGTCTGAAAACATGCACATGGAGAAGCAGGACTGCTGATCTTCAGGGAGGCATTTGCATTATGGCCACGTGTCACAGAATTGTCAAGGTCAGAAAAGCCCCCTGAGATCACTCAGTCCAACCATCAGCTCAGCACCACCATGTTCACACCAACCCGTGTCCCCAGGTGCCATGTTTTTTGAACATTTCCAGGGATGGGGACTCCACTACTGCCCTGGGCAGCTGTGCCAGTGCCTGACCACCCTTTCCATGAAGAAATTCTCTCTAATATCTAACCTAAACCTCCCCTGGCACAGCTGGAGGCCGTTCCCTCTCCTCCTGTCCCTTGTTCCCTGGGAGCAGAGTCCAATCCCCCCCGGCTCCTATCAGGGAGTTGGAGAGAGGGAGAAGGTCCCCTCTGAGCCTCCTTTTCTCCAGGCTGAACAACCCCACTTCCCTCTGTGTTCACTATCACACACTTCCCCAGATTAAGCTACATAATGAACTCCCAGTAGGAAAGCAGCTGGATATAAAGCTGTGTACACCCCCCCACCTGAGAGAGAGAGCAGAGAGCAACAGCCACACTGAACATCCCACAGCACAGATGGGAGCTGCCCTCCATCACAATATCCTAGAAAGGTCTCATTCCATCTTCTGTTCTACCTCTGCTTTTATGAGTGAAGAATAAAATTAATTATAAGAGTCCAAAGCATCAAAAAAGTTTTGTCAACATCTGT